TGCTGCAGCAAGAATCTCAGCAGCAGCAACAGCAGCAGCAACAACAAGCAGCAGCACCAACAGCACGTAGGACGCGTCGGTGCCCTAAAGGGACTCGCTCCCGTTCTGCTGCTGGGGGAAGGAAAGCAGCAGAAAAGGAGGAAGCACAGCAGCAGCAGCAGCAGCAGCAACAGCAGCAGCAGCAAGTAGATAGAAGCCAACACCTGCTCAGCCATTCGCGTATACCAACACCCAGCAACCTAACACTAGCAGCAGCAGCAACACCAGGAACAGCAGCAGCAACACCAGCAGCAGCAACAACAACAACAACAACAACAACAACAACAACAGCAGCAGCAGCAGCAGCAAGACAGCAACGGGCTGCAGCAACACGACGAAGCCCAAAGAGAGTTAGCAGCGCCTTTAGTACTCCCTCTGGCAAGAGGAGCAGCAGCAGCAACAACAGCAGCAGCAACAACAGCAGCAGCAGCAGTATTAAACTCAAAGGAAAACAAGCATCTGCAGCAGCATCAGCAGCAACAACAACAACAGCAGCAGCAGCAACACAAGAAGCAGCTGCTGGTGTATCTTTGCCTTTGTTGCTGCCTTCCCTGACCCCTGCTGCTGCTGCTGCTGCTCCTGCTGCTGCTACTGGTATGCCGTTAGTATCTAATGCCACTATAGGGAACCAAACGCATGCGCCTCTGCCTCCAGACGCAGGAGTAGCAGCAACAGCTGCAGCAGCAGCAGAAGCTGTAGCAGCCGCTGCAGCAGCAGCAACAACAGCAGCAGCAGCAGAAGTTGTAGGTACATCAAGAGAGAGGCCCCCCTATCTGCAGCGCATGCATCTCTGTGTCGAGCGGCTCAGCAGATATGACCGGGGCCAGCAGCAGCAGCAGCAGCAGGAACAGCAGCAGATACAGCAGCAGCAGTTGCAGCAGCAGCATCTGCAGCAGCAGCAGTTGCAGCAACAGTTGCAGCAGCAGCAGCAGCAGTTGCAGCAGCAGCAACTACAGCAAATGCAGCAGCAACTCACTTTGTTGCGCGAGCAGCAACGTCAGCAGCAAGCGCTCTTGGAGCAGCACCTGTTTCAGCAGCAGCAGCAGCAGCAGCAGCAGCAAATGCAGCAGCAGCTGCAGCACAGCGCCACGGGACAGCGCATTGCTGCAGGACCAATAGAAGCAATCTTATCGCCAGCAGCAAGACACAGCTGCCACCATAGTCACAGGCACCACCACCACCAGCAGCAGCAACAGCAGCAGCAGCAGCAGCAGCAGAGCCCATTGGATGGGCTGCGAGTAAGACTTCCTGCTGCAGCAACTCTCCCTCGTTATAGCCCTGCAGCATCGCCGCCCCACACAGAAAGGAGGCGCATGCAGCAGCAGCAGCCGGCAGCAGCAGCAGCAACAGGAAGAACAGCAGCAGCAGCAACACCAACAGCAGCGGCAGCATCCAGGCCAGTGTCTGCATGCACTACTCATGGGCCCCACACAAGTAGGAAGTGCGCTGCCTGCCAGCCTGACGGAGGCACAGTTTGCTGCTGCAGCAGCAGCAGCTGCAGCTGCAGCAAGACGCCTATTGGTGCAGGCACCCTATCGCGTGCAAGACAGCAGCAGCAGCAGCAGCAGCAGAGGCAGCAGCAGAGAACGTTTGGCGGTAGCCCTCGAACTGCAGCGCCTGGCAGCCCCTATTTGCGACGACAGCAGCAGCAGCAGCAGCACCAACAACACAGCTTGAAGCAGCAGCAGCAGCAGCAACAGCAACAGCAGCAGCCGCAGCAGGAGCAGCAGCTGCTAGTATTAGCTATGCCTGGTACACCAAGACAGAGAATCCTTCTATGTGGCTCAGCAGAAGCAGCAGCAAAAGGACAGCTGCAGCTGTCGCCGCAGCAGCAGCAGGGTTTGCTGCAGTTGCTGCAGCAGCGAGCAGCAGGCACAGGGAGACAGGCAACAGCAACAGCAAGAGAAAGTCTAAGAGACATTCAGCAGCAGCAGCAGCAGCAGCAGAGACGCAGCCATTCAGAGGGCAGAGGAACTAAGAACAGGCTGCTGCCACAACTAAACAAGCAGCAGCAGCAGCAGCACAGACAGCAGCAGCAGCAGCAGCAGAACCTGCTAGAGGATTGCGCCGCAAGCGACACCAGCAGCAACTGCAGCAGCGACTGCTGCTGCTGCAACGGCTGCTGCAGCTGCGGCAGCGGAGACAGCACTTGTTCTAGCGACAGCAGCATAATATCAGCAGCAGCAGCAGGAGACTGCAGCAGGCTGCAGCAGCAGCAGCAGCAAGCCATGATTGACGAGCTGCTGCAAATGAGGTTGAATGCAGTGTATCAGCGGCAGCAACAGCAGCAGCAACTGCAGCAGCAGCAGCAACAACTGCAGCAGAAGCAATTGCAGCAGCAGCAACTGCAGCAGCAGCAACTGCAGCAGCAACTCGAGCAGCAGCAACTGCAACAGCAGCAACTGCAACAGCAACTGCAGCAGCAACTGCAGCAGCAATTGCAGCAACAACAACTGCAGCAGCAACTGCAGCAGCAGCAGGAGCGGTTGCTTCAGATCCCCAGGTGGCCGCAAGACAATCCCGTAGGAGCAGCAGCAACAGCTCCTGCTGCTGTTGCTGTTGCTGCTCCTACAGGACCCTCTGCAGCAGCAGCAGGACAGCAGCAGCAACCAACTCCGCAGGCGTCTTCTTACGGTTCTGTGTCTCCTTCTACCTCTGCTTCTGCTGCTATTTCTGCTGCTGCTGTTGCTGCTGCTGCTGCTGCTGCCGCTAAGTCACGATGGTGTATATCCCCTCTAGGCAGCTGCAGCGAACCTGTGCTGCAGCAGGAAGCAGCAACAACTTCTGCTGCATGCAACAGTAGCAGCAGCAGCAGCAAACGCCAATGGACAGACGCATTACACAGCTTCCTGCAAGCAACGCAAGGCAGCACGATGCCTGCTGCTGCTGCTGCTGCTGCTGCTGCTGCTGCTCCTTCGTCGCAAGGGACACCCAGCCGAGCTGCTGCAGATGTGGTGCAGTTGAATACAGACTCGTCAGAAATACAGCAGCAGCAGCAGCAGGAAGAGGAGGAGGAGAAGCAGCAGAGGGAGCAGCAGCAACAGCAGGAGCAGAAGGGAAAGCAGCAGCAGCAGCAATCGGACCAGCAACAGCAGCAGCAGAAGCAGCAGGTCCTGCAGCAACTAGAGACAGTAGATGATGGGCAACTGCTGCTGGAGGCAGAAGAACCCGTCAGGCACCTAGTACACGACGAGCAGCAGCAGCAGCAGCAACAGCAGCAGCAGCAGCAGATGATGATGAGGAGTAGAGACACTGCAGCCCCACAGATGACTTCTGTTGCTTCTCAGGTGTCTCCGCAGCAGGTGTATGAGATGTCTCCTCTTTACCAGCAGCAGCAGCAACAGCAGCAGCAGCAACAGCAGCAGCTGCAACAGTTGCAGCAGCAGCTGCAGGAGCAGCAGCAGCTGCTGCAGCAGCACCAGCAGCAAGGGTGGGGTAAGAGGGATAAGATGTTGGATGCATGCAGCCAAACAGAAGCGCAGCAGCACCACAGCAAGGGGACACAGGCAAGCCAAGCAGCAAGCAGCAGCAGCAGCAGCAGCAGCAGCAACACGGGAGAGGAGCAGCAAGCAAACGGTCTTTGGAGAAGAACTGATGATATCCCTCGGCCTCCAAGCCCCTCTGCTGCTAATGCTGCTGCGGCTGCTGCTGCTGCTGTCGCTGCTGCAGCTGCAGCTGCTGCGGCTGCTGCTGCGGGCCCCACAGCCGTGTTAGGGCGCGGGAAACAAACTTCGCCACCGCCACCGCAGCAGCAGCAGCAACTGCAGCAGCAACAGCAGCAGCACCAGGAAAGTCTTCATCAAGAAAGATCGGTGGTGGTCCCACGGTCGTCGGGGCAGCAGCAACAGCAGCAGCAACAACATCGGCAGCAGCAGCAGCAGCAACTCAGCCCGCCGTCGCCAGGGGAACACCAGCAGCACCTCCGCCCACCATCGCCGGGGCAACAGCAGCAGCAGCAGCAGCAAGAAGGACATCGGGTGCATGCAACAGCAGCAGCAGCAGCAGGAGGGAGCACCCGGCGTTTGCCACGACCAGTAAGCGCCCCACACTACCCAGCAGGAGCAACAGCAGCAGGAGCAGCAGGAACAGTTGTTGTGGGGAGGCACAGCAGGGGGGCCCCTGGGGGCCCCTCAAGGTTCCTAAGAGACAGCACTGGTGCTGCTGCTTCTCATAGAGTAAGAGCAGCACACAAAGGGGGAGAGGGGTCCCCTCATGGGGGAGATGAGGAGCAGCAGCAGCAGCAGCAGCAGAAAGTTGCTGCATCAATGGATGCGCGGAAGATGCAGCAGCAGCTGCTAGAAAGGCAGCAAGAAGTGCTGCAGCAGCAGCAGCAGGTACTTGAGCAGCAGCGGCAGCTGCTGCTGCAGCGGCAGCAGCAACCCTATATGGCACCTCTTTTTACAGGGGATCAAGAGGCCTTATTAATGCTGCAGCAGCAGCAGCACCCAGCAGCAGCAGCAGCAGCAGCAAACTCCCCCAGCAGCAGCATCAGCAGCAACTGGTCAGGCAGCATTAGCTCAGGGGAGATCATTGTTACCCCCGCTAGTCATAGACAATTTGTATGCATGCATACAAATAGTTTGGGGGCCCCTGGGGGCCCCCCAGAAGGGTACTTGGGGAGCACTATAGGGGGCCCCCCAAGGGGCCCCCCTGGAGGGCCACAAGGGGCCCCACATAGTGGGGATACTGCGGTAAGTGTCTCCCATGGTGTGCCACAGCTGCTGCAGTACAGCCCAGGAGGAGCAGCAACAAAAAGCGCAGCAGCAGCAGCAGCAGCAGCAGCAAAATCAGCAGCAGCAAATGCAGCATTAGAGAGAAGCAGCAGCAACGAAGGGTTTAATGAATTGCCTATTCTTGTACCCCTGCGGAGGCCCTCAAGATAGCACCAACAACAAAGGAGGCCCCCCTTAATTAGGGGGGCCCCCTTATAAGGGTTTAATTAGGGGGCCCCCCTGCCCCCTTTTCTATATTATTACTGTTAATTACTTTTATTTCTTTGTGTCTCTTCTTGTCTCTTCTTGCTGCTAATAGAGAGGGCCCCCTATATAATAATAATAAATAATAAATAAATAAATAATAAATAATAATAATAGTAATAATAATAGTAAATAAATTGTACTTATACTACTATTACTATTAATAATAGGGGCCCCAACAACTGCCCGGGGGGCCCCAAACTGGCTATAAACAATAGAGGGGCCCCCTAGGGGCCCCCAGCTCCAAACCCTGAACCCTTGTCGGCATTCTCTATATAGAAGAAAAGGAGACAAATAAGCAACAAGGAAGGAATAAAAAGTGTCTCCTCTTAGCAGCAAAAGGAGACACAAAAACAAAATATGCAGCAGCAAACACTGCTATGTTAATAATAAAATGCAGCAGCAGTTCTGTTCTGCTCTTGGGGGCCCCTAATGGGGGCCCCTAGTGGCCCTCAGGGGGCCCCTTAAGATCCCCTTAGGGGCCCCAAAAGGCCCCTCAGGGGGCCCCCTCCTCTATTCAATGTGTGTATAGAGGTGTACAAAAATATGCATATGATGTACGCAGAGCATTATGCTGCATCCGTGATCGGGATCGTGTACGGGATCGGGATCGGGATCGTGTATGGGATCGGGATCGTATATGGGATCGGGATCCAGTATGGGATCGGAATTGTGTGTGAGACCGGGATCGGGCCCGTGTGTGGGATCGGGATCCAGTATGGGATCGGAATCGTGTGTGGGATCGGGATCGTGTATGGGGATCGGGATCGTGTATGTGATTGGGATCGGGATCGTGTATGGGATCGGGATCGGGATCGTGTATAAATAATGAATTATAATTGTTGTCTCCAATTAGGATTAAGTTGATCAAGTGCTTGTACATATTGTCTTTTTGCTTCTTCTTTATTCATTCCTTGTAATTGTTGCCATGCCCTCCATTTCTCTTTTGCCTCTAATTGATAAAAAGAAGGTTGTTGTGTATTATTATCCCCTATAGTTGCTTGTTTATATAAGGAATAAAAACGTAACTTTTCTTGTGTACTAGGGGAAGAAAGACCACCAGATGATGCTGGCTTCCTTACATACTCTACTGCCTTATCAAAATCTCCCTCCATCTTATTCTATTCTTATTTATTTTATTTTATTTTATATTATATTATTTTATTTTATTTTATTTTTCTATTTTATTCAGAAAAATAAAAAAAACATCAAGAAAATTCACAAAAATTTTTCGGGTGTATAGGCACCTGATTCATAACACACAGCACTCTACCCCTCGTTTATAGTATAAAAAGGAATATAAATACACTATTTAGGTGTATAGGCACTGTAAAATAAGGATAAATAAATAATAAAATATAAAAAAAAAAGAAAATAAAGAAATAATCAACAAATAAGCATAAATTGACGGAAAAAGAGAAACAAATCGATATATTTAATTCAGGTGTATAGGCAGCTATATATTTATTGATTGTACGTAGATACTCGCGGAAGTATACAACGAGGGAAAGAAAAAGGAGGAAAAAATGAATAAATAAAGTAATTTTATTTAGTTATTTATATTTATTTATATCTTCTTTAATTTATTTACAATTATTCAATGAATTTATACATTTATTGAGGAAAAAAACGCCAAAAAATACTCACCTTCCCAACAATGCTCGTCGCTGCTGCTGTTGCTGTTGCTGTTGCTGTTGGTGTTGCTGCTGCTGTTGCTGCTGCTTGCTGCAGACAGCAGATTTTTACGGATAAAATAAAGAAAAGAAGATAAAATAAACAAAAAGAATAAATTAATCAATGAATAAAAACGCACAAAAAAACATCTTGCTGCAGCGGCGCGCTTGAGGCGGCAGGACCACTCCAAGACACAACAGCAACAGCAACAGCAGCAGCAGCAGCAGCAGCAGCAGCTGCAGCTGCTGCTGCAGTAGCAGCAGGGCAACAGTTACCTAGCTAATTTGTTTAATTAAGAAGAATTTTTTCTTGTTGTCTTTGCTGTTAAGAGGTGCCTATACACCCCAATTACATAATTGCATGCAATGTTGCAGTAGCAACACCAGCAATACACTAAATCCTAAACCCTAAACCCTAAACCCTAAACCCTAGTGTTGTATAGGGTGTTGATACACGACTATGTATAAACTCGTAGTCTCCTCTCTTAAATAAAGAGGTATATATGTACGTATATGTACGTATAAATACGTATTTGTACGTATAAATACGTATATGTACGTATATGTACGCACATATACATAATAATATACATTATGTATATATGTACATAATATATAAATATATATATTGTACGTATATACATAATATACATAATATATAAAATATATTATGTATATATATATAGATATGTACGTATATATAATATACATAATACATAATACATATTATGTGTATATATACACTATATGTATGTACGTATATATACAATATACATTAATACATACTATATATATATATATATATATTATAT